TTGTTTCTAGGCCTAGATGGAAAAAAGTGAAATTAGATGTATTACAAATAATTTTAAATGATCACTATATAGTATGTACCTTATTGAGTAATTTTGTGCTTCAACCCATTGTGATACTTACTTCAGATTGTAAAGTAGAATCCATGATTGAAGTTTTTAATTTTCTCCAAAAATATCTCTGCAGCCAGGATTACAGTGAGCTTGTTGGTCAGTGTTGGCTCCAGAGTGCTAGAGTTGCGAGAAAAGCTGGTCATCACCAGACTGCATATAATGCTCTTCTGAATGCTGGGGAATCTACACTCTCAGAACTTTATATAGAAAGATCAAAGTGGCTCTGGTCCAAGGTAAAGAAAATAAAAGTGGAACTTCCTTTCTTACACACAAGAAAATAATCTTTAGTTTTCTTCAAAAAAAGAAGGCACGCAGAATACATAAAACAAAATATGTCAACTGAGACTATCTGATTGCGGTTGAGTCACGGGAAGCTTTTACCTCTAACTGCTCATTAGCCCTTTTCTGTATCCACTGACTTTTCTGGCAGCTATATATAAAACTGGTGGATTACCTCCCTCTGTGAAAGCAGCTCAGACAAATTTAAATTATCTTAACTGTAGATCTTTCCTTAATTTGTATCCGTTTAACTAATAGAGGTAGGCAGCAAACATGGGAGCCATTATTGTGGTAAACCTAAAGGGACAACAATGCTGAAATAACAAGAGAATATAAGAAGCATTTGAAGCCAGTAATATTCAGTTACCACAGCCAGAATGGTCTAGGACACACTCAGGGACATAGCTTTGCCTTAATAACAACTGTGAGATGGAAGTTTTACGTCTCTCTTATTTAAAGTATATAAAAGGTTTTCCTCTTTAGGTTCATCAAGCGCTTATTGTTCTCCAGAAGGGGGTTGAATTATGTTTCCCTGAAAATAAAGCACCGTGCAGTACCAAAAACCAGCTCATCCGTGGTCGGGCAATGCTGCTAGTGGGCAGATTCATGGAAGAAACTGCTAACTTTGAAAGCAATGCAGTTATGAAAAAGTATAAGGTAATTTAATATACTAGTGTTAATAAGGCAGTAGCTTTGGATAATAATAATATTAAATCCCTCAAGTAAGATGTCATTATGCTCCTGATGAGGTCAACTAAGGATGACATCAATGGGATTAAATGGCGTATCAATGTGTAGGAGGGAAGTAGTTCTTGTAAAGATTTACCTATCTGAATTGGCTTACTTGTATTGATGTGTTATATTAAAGCTTACAGTTCCCAGCAGTGGCAGCTAAGAATACCCAATATAACTCTTTTAAAGTAAAAACCAAACTACCAGAGCATGACCTTTTTCTTATGCATGCACAAATTAGAATTCCTCACTAAAATATGGGTTACTCTAAATAGACAGTGAGATAACTTCATGGCATATTGTGCTACTCTTCAGTGTTACTTCTTTCTCTGGTAGTGACTCATAACTGTGCTTTAAATATGCTTCCAGTCTCTGAAGAACTAGGAAAAGAGGCAACTGGTGTGTTTTTCTTCAACAACACAGCACTACACAGCTTCATGTTGCTATGCCAGTGAAATAGTGTTTTGGCATTGATTAATATTGCCTACTAAACCAGTAGTAGATGCAGATCTTTATGCTTCCTTAAAATTCAATACTGTTAGTACTTACTGCTGTCTTACTAATTAAAATACTTCTGTAACAGTCATTTAGAGAAAAATCTAATGGATGTATCAAATCAAATGAAGGTTGAAATAATGGAAACTAATGAAATGTTGATGGATTATAATAAAATACTAATGCTTAGAATTCTCTACTGTCTAAATATTGGCACTGAAAACAAGACAGTGTTATTAGAAAATGGATGTGCCACTTGCTAAGTTATTTCTTTTCTAATATACATCACACCGTTTTCTGTTTTTCTTTTAAACATTATGCTTTTAGAAGGAAAACGAAAATGTGAAAAACATCCTGCTGTTTCACTTGTCAAAAAACTAAAAGAAACCCAGTGGTGAGTTTATCAGGATTAGGAACTTGATTATAGTATTTTTAATGAAACTATATTCTTTCCTAGTTGAGGAATCTGATATCTCCCTGTCTTAAATTATCTTGCTGTCTCCAAATCCAAAAGGTATTTTAAGAAGACTTCTGGTTTATATAGTATGTACAGTCTTGTAGTTAAGAAGTTACAGTTAATACTTGTTTCACATACTGTGCACAAAGGTAACTAATACAAGATGTTTGTTTCTTGATAATCTTTTTCTTTTTTTTAATTTTAGCATCCTTTCAAAAGTAATTATCTCTTTTGAATTTTGTTGCAGGATGTTACGGTTTTCTTACCAGAATGGGAAGATGGACATTTTTATCTTGCTAAATATTACGATAAATTAATGCCGATGGTAACTGACAACAAGATGGAAAAACAAGGAGATCTGATTAGATACATAGTTCATCATTTTGGGAGGTTAGACTCTAGGGGGAATTTGCTTTGTTTCTATAAAAGGATGGCCGTGGTACTGAAAAAAACAGGAATATATTGTCTTTCAACAATTCATACTGACTCAAATTTCTATGCAGTATTGTAAAACAAAATATTGCATGCCTCCTTTTGTTTTCATACCTAATTAATTTTACTTCTGCCTTCTGACTAAGCAACTGTTGTCTGTCTCGTGTAAGGCAGTTAATTATTTATCTGCAGTTTGGATTCATAAAAACAATACCTTTGTATATTAGTAAGCTTTTAGTTGTTGCAGATGCATTAAAATGTGAAACATAAATTTCTAAATTCCAGAATGGAATGTGAAACAATTAAGGATGTCAAGTTAGTAATGTTTCTAATAGATACCATTAACATGCTGTGATTTAAACGTGTAATCACAGGTCTCTACAGTATGGAAACCAATTCATCTATCAGTCAATGCCAAGAATGCTGTCTTTATGGCTGGACTTCGGAGCAAAAGCATATGAATGTGATAAAGGTAGAACATTTTTTCCCAGTACATACTTCCTGTGTCATACTTTTGAATATATAATTGAAAGAGTAGTGAAGTTCTTTGTTTAGACTTATTGCCTGAGATTATATGGAAACAAAAAAGTACTATTACTCTTTTAAATTACAGGATGTTAATATGCAGGAGAGTATTAATTATTTTAATAATGATAAAGAGTCCCTCCCCATCTCTCCTGTATCCCCCTTTCAGTACTGGCAGACTGCTCTAAGGTCTCCCCAGAGCCTTCTCTTCTCCAGGCTGAACAACCCCGACTCTCTCAGCCTGACCTTGTATGGGAGGTGCTCCAGCCCTCTGATCATCTTTGTGGCCCTCCTGTGGACCCACTCCAACAGGTCCATGTCCTCCTTGTTTTGGGGTCTCCAGAGCTGGAGGGAGTACTCCAGGTGGGGTCTCACAAGAGCAGAGCAGAGCGGGAGAATCACCTCACTTGACCTGCTGGTCACACTCCTTTTGATGCAGCCCAGGACACGACTGGCTTTCTGGGCTGTGAGCATACATTGCTGGGTCGTGTTGAGCTTCTTATCAGCCAACAGCCCCAAGTCCTTCTCAGGGCTGCTCTCAAACCATTCTCCTCCCAGCCTGTATTTGTGCTTTTACTTGGCCTTGTTGAACTTTGTGAGGTTTGCAAAGGCGCTTCTCCCAAGCCTGTCCAGGTCCCTCTGGATGGAATCCCTTCCCTCTAGCATATTGGCTGCACCACACAGCCTGGTGTTGTTGGCAAACTTTCTGAAGGGTGCACTCAATCCCACTGTCCATGTCTCCAACAAAGATGTTAAACACCACTGGTCCCAATACTGACCCCTGCAGTCTCCACTTGGACATTGAGCCATTGACTGCAACTCTTCGAGTATGCTTCTGTAGGCTTGATTTAAATTATTTCACATTTCTGGAAAAAAAGGAACATAATCTTGTCCTCTTGTGTTTTTCAGCTAGTCGTTCAGAACGTGTTCAAATGAAAAATGATTTAGCGAAAATAAATAAGGTGATTACAGAGCACACGAATCACCTGGCACCTTACCAGTTTCTGACAGCTTTTTCTCAGTTAATCTCCCGAATCTGCCATTCTCATGATGAAGTCTTTGCAGTTCTGATGGTGATTGTTGCTAAAGTGTTTTTAGCCTATCCACAGCAAGCAATGTGGATGATGACTGCAGTGTCCAAGGTACCTTGATAAGTATAGCTACGCCTTCATTAAGTTTGTAAAACTTTTTTCATCAGAGAGAAATGTGAATTTAATCTATTTTACTTTAAGACGATAAGAAGGAGTTGAGAGATTGAGTTGCTGTGATATAGTGTTGTGGAACAGGGTATCAATAATTTCAAATTATTTTATTGCAGTCTAGAGTTCAGATATTACAGTTTAAATGTTCCAAATTAGAATGCTAACGTGCATCCTGACTTGCATGATATATTAGGAAAGGAAATTTGAATAACTAATAGCTGACGAATTGGGTAGTTATGGGCAACAGATTTTGTTTGGTTTAGTAATTGTAACAGTAATTCCAGTTTTATAATCAAATAATCAACTCTTTTCCTTGATTAAAATGAAATAGATATACCATGAGTCCTAATACTTACCTGGTAGTAAAGTAATTCCAAAGCAAATTGGAAAACATGGTGCATACTGTTTCTTTAAGGCTGGTGAAAGAACATTCAGGTTACACTGGCATATTCTTGAATATTGGCCTTTGTGTTATGAGACTCCCAAAAGTCAAGAGAAAGTAATAACCCCCACACACACCCACCAACCACTTTAGTACTTGTTCAGGTACCAAATTTCAGTTGGAGAACATCCTCCTCCAGATGTTAAATATGACAAGCAGTAAGTAGAGAAAATATATTGATGGGGGGGAGGGGGGCGTGGCGACAGTGTTTAGGATCCTTTAATTGATTTGACTGTTTTTTTCCTCTTTTTTTCAGTCTTCTTACCCTATGCGTGTCAATAGATGTAAGGAAATTCTAAACAAAGCTATTCACATGAAGGAATCTTTAGGAAAATTTATTGGAGATGCAACACGCCTTACAGATAAGCTGTTAGAACTATGCAACAAACCGGTACTTAGAAAAATAAACAAATGAATGCATGTAACAGGATTATTCAAAAATACTATGCAAAAGCTTCTGATAGCTTTCATTGGCCAATTCATTACATAACTGTGATTTAACAGAAACTACACTTACTTGTAAAAGTTTTTTTTTTGCTTCATAAACATATTCAAAAAAGTACAAAATAGCTCTAAATGGAGCACATTGCAGAATATTTCAGTACATAATTGTACATTTCACAGTGCATGGGCTTTACATTGTTTTGTTCTTTCGTGTATGATTCTTCCCCAGTAACTTTCACAAAGTTTTACTATAAGAATAGGCTAGTTGTGTTTCATGAACAAATGAACTTGATAATAAAGGTAAAAAAAAAAATTATTTCATTATTCTGTATTTACATTCAAAGTGAAAAATGCATGTGCCATAAAGGCCAGATATATTTACTTTTGACCACTCACATTTAATTTGAAATGTAATTTGCCATTTTTCTTTTTACCATAAGCATTTATTCTTCTATTCATTAGTTAATGTGAAATAGCAGTAATATTTTAAGTGTTTATTGTTAACTTTTGAACAACTGTTGTGTTTTTTTTTTTCCCCCCAAGGTTGATGGAAACAGCTCAACATTAAGCATGAACATTCATTTCAAAGCACTTAAGAAATTAGTAGAGGAGCACACATTTAGTGAAGTTCTCATTCCCTTACAATCTGTAATGATACCAACTCTTCCTTCAATTCCTGGTACACATGCTAACCATGACGCTTTTCCTGGACGCTGGGCCTACATTGCAGGCTTTGATGATACGGTAAGCCTCTAAGTTGGTACCTCATTTTAAACTTCCTGTTGTAACAAATGCAGCTGCAAATACCTTCTAGTTCCCTAGAAACTGAAGAGTGGGTAGGAAACTTCATAATTACTTTAGTGGAAACTGAGTGGCTTCTGTTGTAACAACTGGTGACAGATAGGGCCTCTTGGTGCTTGGGTAAAGTTTTGTCCTGAGGTTAGCATGCTGTAGGAGCAAGGAAGTGCTAACGTGATTCGTTGCACTAGTTTATTACAGTTAGAAGCTTTATGTATGATCTGATATAGGTGTTAATAAAGAATTTAATTTTTTCTTTAGGTGGAAATTCTTGCCTCACTTCAAAAACCAAAAAAGATCACCTTAAAAGGTTCAGATGGGAAATCTTACATTATGATGTGTAAGCCAAAAGATGATCTGAGAAAAGACTGTCGGCTCATGGAATTCAACTCCCTTATTAATAAGGTTTGATGAGTTAGACAATCAGGTGCATTATACTTATTGACCAGAACAAAATGCTGTACTATCTAACAAAAAACCCCAGCTTACCTTGAGATGAAGCTTACTGGAAGAAAAGTAAGCTGTTGCAAAATGTTATTTCATCAGAAATCAGTAGCAATTGATAATGTGTAACTTCTTACAGACTTGTGAAAACAATTAAAAAATACAATATTTTGCCAAAACAATTGCTTATTCCAGCAGAAATATATAGGAAAGGCTATTTAGAGTAAATAACTGCAGACTTCCTGCTGTCATGCTTCATATTTCATAGTATTTTCTAATATTTTTAATGAGAAATAGGTAAATTCATCACTAAAAGTGTTGCCATACTTCTTATTTTAGCTATATTTTGCTTCTCGGCAGTACGCTTAAGGTTAAGATACTATGTTTTCCATGAGGTTAAAGCACGTGATGATAGCATCTCTGAAACACTAAAACACTTACTTCCAATACTGCTTTTGAGGGATTTAAGCCATGTACAAGTTATGCAGTTTGACTGTTTTATTGCAAAGTTAGTTTACTTTGGAGAACAAATCACCATTTTGCTTGCAATTGACCTACTGCAGACAGTGAAGCTCAGAATTTTAAATCCTAGATCGTGTGATTGGAAGATAGATACAGATAGAATAGTTAATGTTATTGATATATTTTGATCCTATATATGTTATCTGTTAATCACATTTTTCTTTTGTGAATAGTGCTTAAGAAAAGATGCGGAGTCACGTAGGCGAGAGCTCCATATTCGAACCTATGCGGTTATTCCATTAAATGATGAATGTGGCATAATAGAATGGGTGAACAATACTGCTGGTTTAAGAAATATCCTGATAAAACTGTATAAGGAGAAAGGTAAAGAAATTTATTAGACTATAGTGATATGTTATTTGTTTTTCTAAAGGGCTTCTGTCCTTATTAGTAAATGAGACAAGCAGCAAGTATCAGACTAAATTCTAGAAACATGCAGTCACATGTATTTTTAACTATTTGCAATATATTATTATTCATATGTGTGGTAGTCTGTTACTGATAACACAATCATCTTAATACATTCTTTTATATGATTATATAATTTATTTCAGCAGCAGTGCCAGCAGAATGGTAATGTGTGTGCAGCATTGAGTGACAGAAAAGACTGGACTTTTTCTTTAGATTTGATCTGTTGTTTTTCACTTCTGTTACCTTTGTGTGAGATAACTAAGTTAATTGAATTGGAGAGATATATATATATTTATGTTGAGATATATATATGTATATATTTATGTCAAGAGATATATATATATATA